CGGAAATGTCTTGTTGAAAGTGAGAAGAATTTGAGAAGATATGACAGGAGAAAAGCCATGGCGGAAATGTCTTGTTGAAAGTGAAAAGAATTTGAGAAGATATGACAGGAGAAAAGCCATGGCGGAAATGTCTTGTTGAAAGTGAGAAGAATGTTGAGAAGATATGACAGGAGAAAAGCCATGGCGGAAATGTCTTGTTGAAAATGAGAAGAATGTTGAGAAGATATGACAGGAGAAAAGCCATGGCGGAAATGTCTTGTTGAAAATGAGAAGAATGTTGAGAAGATATGACAGGAGAAAAGCCATGGCGGAAATGTCTTGTTGAAAGTGAAAAGATCAACGTTAGAAAAATATGATATGAAGAAATATCGTGTCGGAAGTGACAAAACAAATAGAACTAAAAATAAAATTTAAAAAAGTATGATAGAGCTTGTACAATTGCGCCCCATACAAACTTTATAAGGTTAACCTTACACTTGAAAATACAATGGAATGAGAAATATCTGAAGAATAATTTCTTAATTAATTTCTTTTTTTCATTCAATACTTTCTAGAGTTTCAATTTATTTAAAATGCATCGAATATATTAATTTACACTACCACTGCTTAAAATCAAAGTACATAGAAATTTTAAAGTGAAAAATTTAAGTTGGAAATGAAAGTTCAATAAATTAGAAGCAGATGAAAAATAAAATTAAATTTAAAAGTAAATGTATATAAAAAAAAAAAAAATAATAAATGAAAGTATGATTTCATTTATTTTTTTTTTCAGAAATAAAAGTAATAAAATATCACTTAAGAGTTAAAATTATATAAATATATAAAATGGTTCATTATTTAAGTAACACTTCCATTTCCAATTTACCATAAAATTTTTTTATTTTTTAAAAGCAAAGAAAAAAACAGTTTGTTGTTTTTGTTTTTTTTGCATCATTTTCATAAATTTGCAATAATTTTACTTTCAATATTTTCTTTATTTTTATTTTCGTTCAATTTTTTTTCTGAAGTTCCCATTTTTAACTTGAAAAATAAGCGATTTGTGATTTAAATAATTATTTTTTTCTCTTTCTTTTTTTTCAATCTTAATATAAATGGCAATTGTAATACATAATTTTAAATTTGAAATTTGAGTGTTGTATAAGAGAGAATTATAATTAGGTACAAATGAAATGGAAGTTAAATTAAGACGAAGATAGTTTAAAATTAAATTATACTGAAGTTATTTTACCTAAGTATTTTTAAGTTATTTGATAATCGAGCCTAGTCTATTAGTAAAAATTACTGAAGACGAAAAAAAAAACGAAAATCGAAAAATGAAATTTTATATAACTGAAAATTTAATCCCTAAAAAAATAAAGTTTAATAATAATTTAGTTAACTCAAATTTTAATGTTTAACTTGATTAAAGAATGAATACATTATATACCTCATTAGTGTTTTTTTTTTTTTGATCAAACAAATGAAAATTTTTTCCATTTTCAAAAAAAAAAAAAAAAATTTTAAAATGAAAATTTTTTTTTGCAGAATAAATCAATTAATTTTTTTTTTCTCTGTAATGCAAAAAAATTTCAGAAAAAAAGAAAAGTAGAGAAAAAGCTCTTTTAAATGTTGCATAAGCAATTTTTCCTTTTTAAAAATTTAAAACAATTTGTTCACTAATATTAAAATATTATAGCAATAATTCTAACTCTTTTTTTTTTTTTTTTTTTTGAAGATTTGAAATATTTTTAAAAAATAAAAAAAAAAAGTATTAAATCTCTTTAATGCTCAAGTAACAAAGTATTTTTGCATTATTAAATGATAATTAAAGAAAGAAAAAGTACCTCTCAGTAGCAAATAAATGATTTTTATTCTTTTTCAAACTTAATCAAATGTAAATCATACATGCAAAAGAATGTTTGAAATTGAAATTTGAAACAAATTTATTTTTTAATTGTAAATTTTATATATCTGTGAAAAAAAAAAATAGTTTTTCTTGTTGAAAAATTTCCACTTCGACTAATAATAATAATAATAATAATAATAATAATAATAATAATAATAATAATAATAATAATAATAGTAATAATAATAACAGTAATAATAATAATAGTAATAATAATAATAATAATTAATTTTTCTTTTCTGATAATTTTAAGAAATAAAACTATAAAATGTGAAAGAAATTTTTATATAAATTTTAAAAGATAGTATTAGTGATTACCATTATATTAATTTTAAATTTAATATCAATTAATTAGTAATGTATCATCATTATTTTCCAATACAATGTACTATCTTTTCAATATTGTTTATTAATTAGCAAAATTTGTGAATCATACTGAGGCAAAGTATAAAAATGATGAGAGAGAGAGAGAGAGAGAGAGGGAGAGAGAAAGAAAAGGTTTTTTTTAATTTTATTTTATCATTTTATTTATAATTTGTCTTTATCATTTAAATCAAAGATTTAATTATAAATCATTAATTGGACTGAATATTTTTATAACACTGTAAACTGATTCTTTCTTATTTGCTTTTTATTTTAAGTACTATTTTACAAATAATTTTTTTTTTTACAAATAACAATAATAATAATAATAATAACAGCACACATCAATGATCTTATTACAATTATCTTAAATGTTTAATTAAAATTTAAATGAAATTAATTGAGTAAAAAAAAAAAAAGAAATGCTATTAAACAGATCAAAATAATTGAATATCAGTACATTAAACACATTTGAGATACTAATTAAATCATTTCCATTATTCAATACTTAAGTATTATTAATTACTTTAAAATACTTTCATCAAATTTCATTTATTGATATTACATTACTTAATTTTAAGATATAAACAATATATTTTAATATACAAAACTCATTTATCAATTTATACATAAAATAAGTTATTACTATAAAGTTTAGCTAAGACTTAGTACTGCTCTAACTGGTAACTCTAATGATCTGATTTATGATCTAATTGAAAGAATCTCAGTTCAAATCTTTGAATTGTAATCTGCTAGGTTACTATTAAATGCTTTGGATTACTTCTTATAGATGATAATATCATTACTATAATAATAATAATAATAATAATAATAATAATAATAATAATAATAATAATAATAATAATAATAATAATAATAATTTTTTTTTTTGTAATTGTAAAATTTTTTGTAATTTTTTAAATACCATGTGTGTTAAATTATATTGTAAAAAGAAATAACAATGAAAAATAATTGAAATTTAAGAAATTTGCAAAAATTTTGAAAATAAAACATTTTGTTTTTTTTACTTATTATCAAAAGAATTAGTAATGAATTAGTAAAAAATAATCATGTAATTTATAATTAAAATTAAATTGAACCTAAAATGAAAACAATGCAAATATATAAATCAATTATTTGAAGTTGAAATAAAAAAGAACAAAATTGATTGCTCATGTATAAAAATGATTTTTTAAACAGATTTGATTATCTCATTACGATCAAAGTAGAATTTTTTTTTTTAAATCATCTATCTCTCTCTCTCTCTCTCTCTCTCTCTATATTTCATGAATTAAATATTATCAAATACTATCAGATATCTGCCTATGATACTACATTTCTGGAAAATACCTTTGTTCTACTTATAGGGCGGTATTATTGACTGAGTAAACTTTTAGCAGGGATTTTGTTTGATGTTTTTGTAGTTTTGCTGTTCGATACGCTCTCTAATTTAGTTGTGTTTTGTTTTTGTTTTTTGTTTTTTTTTTCTGTTTACAAATTTATGTTTTACTGATTTTTTAATTATAGCTATAAGCCAATCATTTATGTAATAAATATATTCTCATTTACTTAAAAATTAATATTAAAAATTTGACAACAATCAATCCGATTGATTGTTGTTCTTAACATCTTCTTGACTTTTCACTATTACTTCAAAAAATTATAAAAAAAAAAATTAAAAAAAAAAAAAGCTATTACTTCAAAAAACCTAAATGTAAATTGTCTATTTAGTTACAAAACAGTCTATAGAATTCGTTCCGATTTATGATCTAATTTTCATTTTAATAGTTTTTAATTTCTTATTTAGCTTTCAGTGTCATTTGTTTTTTTTTTTTTTTTTGCTTTTTACCTTTCTTATTTACCTATTTATTTTTGCAGTAGTAGTCAAAAGTTTTACCTGTAACAGGTTTATTTTTACTATAGTTAAACCACTCATATATTTGAAGTTTTTTTTTTTTTTTACTCTAATTTCTTTAGTGATTTTCTTTTCGAAATTTTTGATAATATTTTGATCAAAATTTATTTATTAGATTTCGTATATTATTACTTATTTATCTCTTTTCTATACTTTTTTTTCTTCTAAATTTCACTGATTTCATGCTTCCTATTAATTAAATCTTAATTCTTAGAAGTTTTCCCTAAAATTACTTCGTTTCACTTTTTTATTCCCTTCTTTTTAAATTAATTTTAAACTATATCTCCTTGCTAATGCCCAATTTTTTTTTTTAATTATTTCTCCTCATTTTTTGGTCATCTTGGTTCTGCATGCTTTTTTGTTTTGTTTTTTTATATATTATATTATTTTTAATTTTCTCTTTTAAATGTCTTTTTAATTAATTATAGTTTTTGTATGTTTTCTGTGATTACTTTAATGTCTTTTTAATTAATTATAGTTTTTGTATGTTTTCTGTGATTACTTTAATGTCTTTTTAATTAATTATAGTTTTTGTATGTTTTCTGTGATTACTTTAATGTCTTTTTAATTAATTATAGTTTTTGTATGTTTTCTGTGATTACTTTAACCTTGTGCATGTCATTTTGCCAACTTCACTAATTGCATGCATTTTTCTATTACTGTTATTTAGTACATGCCAACCTCATTGAATACATTTTTGGCAAAATTTAATAAAAATTAAGTAAAAAAAAAACCCAAAAAAAAAAAAAATTAAAAATTAACTTTTAAGTGGTACAAACAAAAGCGACCAAAACTAAATGACAGCGTAATATATATATTTACTAAAAAGCACGACTTATGTCAAGAAACACAAAATTGGTAAAATTACCTACCACTGCAACCACTTGCTACCACCTCTCGCTGCAACCACTTGCCACTACCAGCCGCCGCAACCACTTGCTACCACCTGTCGCTGCAACCACCTGCTACCACCTGTCGCTGCAACCACTTGCCACTACCAGCCGCTGCAACCACTTGCTACCACCTGTCGCTGCAACCACTTGCCACTACCAGCCGCCGCAACCACTTGCTACCACCTGTCGCTGCAACCACTTGCCACTACCAGCCGCCGCAACCACTTGCTACCACCTGTCGCTGCAACCACTTGCTACCACCTGCCGCTGCAACCACTTGCCACTACCAGCCGCTGCAACCACTTGCTACCACCTGTCGCTGCAACCACTTGCCACTACCAGCCGCTGCAACCACTTGCTACCACCTGTCGCTACAACCACTTGCCACTACCAGCCGCTGCAACCACTTGTTACCACCTGTCGCTACAACCACTTGCCACTACCAGCCGCTGCAACCACTTGTTACCACCTGTCGCTACAACCACTTGCCACTACCAACCGCTGCAACCACTTGTTACCACCTGTCGCTACAACCACTTGCCACTACCAGCCGCTGCAACCACTTGCTACCACCTGTCGCTACAACCACTTGCTATCCCTTGCTAACCACCTGCTATCGCCTGTTGGTGTGACAATTGCGACCACCTGCCGTACAAGTACGGTAACAGTTAGCCACAATACTTGCAGCAGTAATTGGTTACTGTGGCGTTATTGCAACAAGTGACTATTGTAGCATAGGTCACAGGCGGTTATAGTTCACGGTAGCATGTGGTTGTAACTGCGACCAGTTGTCACTGTAACCGCTTGCTACCAATTGTCAGTGGTAACCACTTGCTACCAATTGTCAGTGGTAACCACTTGCTACCAATTGTCAGTGGTAACCACTTGCTACCAATTGTCATTGTAACCACTTGCTACCAATTGTCATTGTAACCACTTGCTATTACGATAGCATATTTACTCACCATTTTATATCATTTTTTTAAAAAATAATTATCAAATGTTTATCAAATATGAATGGTTGTTAATAAATAAGTAGTGATATAATCAATAAAATCATTTCATCTTCAACAGTTTCATCTCACTCAAAACAATTGAATTAACATTCAATTTTCTCACTTTATCAATTTTTAAAATTCATTTTAAATCATTGAAAAATTCCTGAAAAGTTTACATTTTCAAAGAAAAAAATTACATATTGGAAAGTATTTCTATCGATTTACCATTCTTTTTTATTAACATTCCTTCATTTTCTCTCTTTCATTTTAAATTTGTAACTCACAAAGTTGTCAAATTGATCGATCCATGTCCATCAATGTTGCTCTTATTGTGTGCTATCGATTTGAGATCTAAGCAATTAGCCATTGCTCTTATCCTTTTCCTATTTTGATTCTTTTCTGCATCACTTCTACTATTCCTTCTCTCATACTTTCTCTCACTCCCTCTCTCTCTCTCTCTCTCTCTCTCTATTTCTCTCTCTCTCTTCATTAGAAGTAGAAGCACATTTTCCATTTCATTCTGCAATATCGAAAAATGCTTTTCCTAGTTCTCTTTGTGAAGTATTTACTATGTAATTCAGGACAATTTGTATTTATTCATTAATTTCTCTCTTATTAATTACTTAAAAAGTGGAGTGATAAGTGAGAATAACGATAATGATAGTGATAATGGTTGATAGTGATAATAATGATAATGGTTGATAGTGATAATGGTTGATAGTGATAATGGTTGATAGTGATGATAATGATAATGGTTGATAGTGATAATAATGATAATGGTTGATAGTTATGATAATGATAGTGGTAGTGGTTGATAGTGATGATAATGATAGATACTGATAATGGTTGATAGTGATGATAATGATAATGGTTGATAGTGATAATAATGATAATGGTTGATAGTTATGATAATGATAGTGGTAGTGGTTGATAGTGATGATAATGATAGTGGTAGTGGTTGATAGTGATGATAATGATTGATAATGATAATGGTTGATAGTGATGATAATGATAGATACTGATAATGGTTGATAGTGATGATAATGATAGATACTGATAATGGTTGATAGTGATGATAATGATAGATACTGATAATGGTTGATAGTGATGATAATGATAGATACTGATAATGGTTGATAGTGATGATAATGATAGTGATAATGGTTGATAGTGATGATAATGATAGATACTGATAATGGTTGATAGTGATGATAATGATAGTGGTAGTGGTTGATAGTGATGATAATGATAGATACTGATAATAGTTGATAGTGATGATAATGATAGATACTGATAATGGTTGATAGTGATGATAATGATAGATACTGATAATGGTTGATAGTGATGATAATGATAGTGATAATGGTTGATAGTGATGATAATGATAGATACTGATAATGGTTGATAGTGATGATAATGATAGTGGTAGTGGTTGATAGTGATGATAATGATAGATACTGATAATGGTTGATAGTGATGATAATGATAGTGGTAGTGGTTGATAGTGATGATAATGATAGTGGTAGTGGTTGATAGTGATGATAATGATAGTGGTAGTGGTTGATAGTGATGATAATGATAGTGGTAGTGGTTGATAGTGATGATAATGATAGTGGTAGTGGTTGATAGTGATGATAATGATAGTGGTAGTGGTTGATAGTGATGATAATGATTGATAATGATAATGGTTGATAGTGATGATAATGGTTGATAGTGATGATAATGATAGTGATAATATTTGATTGAATACATTGTTGTAGTATAATGGCATAGTGACCACCGCAGTTAGGAAAAGGAACGATAGCCATTGGAGAAACATATTTATGAAATAGTAAAGGTCAAGGTTAACTTATTCCTCTCAGTCGTTGACTAATTCATGTGTTTATATTTTGACCTATATTTATTTCAATAGTTCTATGATTAATCATAACTAAATTACAATCAATGTAGTATATACTACCTTTTTATATTTACCAATTCGTATTATAATCCATTTTCTGCTATGTTAATTTCATTTTTTTATAATTTTTAACTTTTGTAAAGATAATAATAAATGAACAGTTATTCATATTTTAAAATGATATAAAATTTGTTTATATTTGTATAATATTTGTTGTTTGATTAAATATTGATTAGATAGCATTTATATAATATTTATAATTGTATTATATTAATTGAATAATTTTCATTAATTTAAATTTCATTCATACGTTCATTTATTTTTTTCTTATTTTCTTTTACGTTCATAATTTAATTTGTTTTTTGTTTATTTCTGTTTTTCTAATTATTTATTCGTTCATGTTTACATTTTTATTTTTCTTTATCTCTTTTACCCATATCGCTTCACTTCGTCACTTTTTTATTTACTTTATAATCGATTTTTTAAAATTTTTATCTGCTCGTCTACTTCTTTATATATTTATTTACTTATCTATTTCGACTAATTTATTTGTTCCTTTATATTTACATAATTTATTTGATTAGCAACAATTTAGCATATACTAATTGATAAGACAAGAAATATTAAATGATAATAAATGATAAAAACGAACTATTCGTGACGAAAGAAACAACGAAAAACTAATTAAATAATTTAAAATGTATGTGATTTGAGGATTAAAGCATATGTATGATTCATTGTTTAAACACATATATGATTTACTGATTAAGCGCGTGTACGTTATTTACTGATTAAGCGCACATACGTGATTTATTGATTAGACGTTCATAAGTGATTTATTGATTAGACGTACATAAGTGATTTACTAATTAAGCGCACATACGTGATTTATTGATTAGACGTACATAAGTGATTTATTGATTAGACGTACATAAGTGATTTATTGATTAGACGTACATAAGTGATTTATTGATTAGACGTACATAAGTGATTTATTGATTAGACGTTCATAAGTGATTTATTGATTAGACGTACATAAGTGATTTATTGATTAGACGTACATAAGTGATTTATTGATTAGACGTACATAAGTGATTCACTAATTAAGCGCACGTACGTGATTTATTGACTAGACGTAGATAAGTGATTTACTAATTAAGCTTACATATAACTGAAAGCACATTTACTAATTGAATTTTTCCAATTCATAATATTTTAGATTTTCAAGGATGGGACGAAAAGATGTTGGCGATTTTATCGAGTTTGGTAAATATACTGGCTTCCTTTGTTTACTCTATGAATTATTGGTGGTATCACAAGTTAGTAATCTTATCTACATGATTTATGGAGGTATGCTTCCATTTCATTTCATTCTTTTATCTTCAAAATTTATTTTTTATTAAAAGTTTTTACAGAAAAACTTTTTTCTTGCTATATGTTTTTATTAAATAATTAAATTTTATTAAATAAAATTTTTTTAATATTTTACTTATATTTAACATTTCATATTGAAATATTCCAGAATTACATTCTTTGTTCATTTGTATTTAATAAATATTACAAGTGCTTTCTTTTTTTTCTTCTTTTTAATTCTGAAATAAATAGTTTTAAAGATTAGATCATTTATTGATTAACTTTTAGTTATTTTCATTGTTTTTTTCTCTTGTATCAGTGTTTTCAAAAAGAAAAAAATTATTTTTTTAGAATATTTATTTCCTAAAAAATTTTTTTCGTCAATTTTAAAAAAAAAAAAAAGAAATAAATGAATAAATTGAATGAAAAATTTACTTCCGTTTTTACTTGTAAGTAAGAAAACTTTGGAATTACTTTTTTGTTGCTAATTTAATCTGCAATCTGCAACGAACATCATTTATGTAATTTAGAAATAATTTAGTTATAATTAGAAATAATTTAGCAAATATTCGTTTTCAAATTAAAACATCTAAAAATTTTACTTATTTGTTTTTTTTTTAAGTGCAATATGTACTAATTTAATTCGAGAAACTTTTTCGAGAAAATCTTTTTTTTTTCCCTTTTTTTTTTTGGAAAAATGTTTTGACATAAGGAATTTCTAATACAAGAATATTTGATCTAAATTGTATTTTTTGTAAATATGAAGAAATGATGGTTGGTGATATTTCCTCTGAGAAATTTACCATTTTTTTTTTTTTTTTTTCATTAGTATAATAATAATAATTAGGGTAACTGTTTGTGTTAAAAATTTAAAGAAAAAAAAAAGAAATAACTTTATATTATTATTCAGCAATTTTAGTTGTTTATCAATTGATCAAAATAGTGGTTTAACTAACAAAATGTACAAATACTTATATATATATATATATATATATATATATACCTGCTTACCTTTATTTCATATTAATCAGTCAAACTGATAAAGATGTCAAAAAAGAATATATAGTGAAAAGAATAGAATTTTATTATTAGTTGGTAGAACACGATGATATTTCATTTTTTTTTTTTATATCATAAAGATAGTAGAAATTTAATTTGCATTATCATTTTAGATAATGATAATAGGGCTTGTAATTTATTAAATTTTAAAATTACTTTTAAAAAGAGTGTAGTCTTACTATTAAATTAAAAGTCGTTCATTGTACAAATATCTTTGTTTTAAGTGAAATTACCGCTTATCAGCCGCTTATCAGTTCTTATCATTTTAGGTGCTGCAACACGTATCGAAGGATGCGATGGTCATATGTTTACTGGTATAACATCAAAACAACAATGTGAACAATACGATAATTATATGAATTCAACAGGAGAATGTTCAGAACCAATTTTAGGCGCAGATTTTGAATCAGTTGC